TCACCGTCCGAATCTTCCTCGCTCCCGTCGTCCGCTACCTTGGCTTCGTTGCCTGCTCGATTCTCTAAAGCGTTCGAACTACTTGCGCCTGCGTTCCTGCCCAGGTGATGTCAGTGTCGGCACAAACGCCCAGATATTCGAGGAACTGCGTACTTGTTTCGCGTGTTCGTGTCGGAAGGCGACTCTTCATGCTTGTCCTTCCCCGATCCCGACGATGGCGAGGGGAGAAGTGCCATCAAATCGGCCACGGTCCCCGTCTCCTCGTGGAACTTGGTCACAGTCGCAACAACTTTCGCGCGAGCATCGGGAGGAAGCGCGTCAACATGGGCCCTCAGCTGGATGACACTGCGAATAAGAGGGCCGTATATGTCAGAGACAGCGGGTCCGTTCGAGGAAGGCAATGGCGTGTCCGCCGGACGCTCCGGTGTCACCGGCGCATCGGAGTCCTCGTAGTCGGTGTCGTACGGAGCCTTAGTGTCGTCTGTACATTCGAGGGGTGGCTTCCAAGGACCACTACACGGGTTCCTGTTCCGTGCGCGAGGAATGTCATCATTCTCGGGAAGATCGTTGCGTGCGCGATTCCTCGGAAGAAGCGACTGTCCAATCGGGGATAGCGACTTCTCATCCGCCCCGGGGGTGCCTGGAACATACCGCGGCTCATCGAGGGTCGCCTCCTTCGCCAGCTCAGAGACTGTCGGAGAGATGTCGTAGACGTCGGATTTATCAGGAGGCATAGGGCTCGCGTCGTCTTCATCGGGGTGGAAGACATCTGCAGAAGCTTCGCGGGGGGACTGGAGCTGCGAAGTCTGACGCGAGGGCTTCTTTGGGGTCGACGTGAACGTGACGAATGGGATCGTTTTGACAAGGGCGAACACCTTCTTTGTAGTCGCAGGGACGTGGTTCTCTTTATTGCTGGATTCCAGGGTGCTGTCGCTCATGCGGTGACGTTCACGCCCGGCGGGCTCGTCGTCGGATAGGGAAAGAACGGAATCGTGGCGCTCATGCTCTGCGGGCTCGTCGTCGGATAGGGAAAGTACGGAATCGTGGCGCTCCCGTTTAACAACCACCGTAGGCTCTTCTGTCGAGCTAATTGATATGCAGCTCATTGATCGCTTGCGCTGCGTCGTTTGCATCTTCGGTCAGCGTTGTAGATAGCGGGGACTTTCAAATTTGAATCACTTACGGGCATGATCGGCGCCGACGGTTTCTCCGCGACCTGCGAAGACGCGTTCCTGACAGGTCCGGAAGCAGAGGTGGTATTGCCAATGGCGGTAGCAGACGTGGGACGTCTAGCAGCAGGAGACGGGGTAGACGGTTCTGGCGACTGTTCTGGAGACGACATATCCTGCCGTGAGATGACAACGTTGTTTGTACCCTAACTTGTGTCAGCCTGAGGTTGATGAGATCCAATTATTGTACATACCTTTAACGTCTGGATGAACTTGTTGTGTCGCATCTGATCAAGCTCGTCGGTCTGTCACACATGTGTGAGCACACCAGAATCACGGAAGGCTTATAAGAACTTACAGCTTCCTGCTGCAACTGGGCGGCCTGTCGCCAATCAATACCAGCGCAATTCCTTTGTGAATCACCCAAACATACCTTCCGTTTCGCGGTCAGTCCTTGTGACGTTGACTTCGTGGTGTCGAATGCCGCAGGCGCTGTCCTTGAACCCTGCTAGTGATATGAGTGCGTCGTTTGTTTGGTAAGTGGCAATTACGAACCGAAGGACCAGCTTCGTCGGAAGCACCTTGACGCGGTTCATACTGCGCCACCTCCTGTGCATAGAGGCTTTGAGCGTAGGCATGGTCGCTCTCGAGCTGTTCCGGAGACGTCGATGTGCCCAGAGAGCCAACAGCACTGTCAATCTGCTCCCTGTCAGCGCTCAGCTTCATGATAGCTGTTCGAAGACGAACCTTGCTCCCGAGAGTTGACGGAGATGAATCGTTGGCGGCACCTTTGGCATCGAGATCGCGCACAGCCTTTATCTTATGCTTCAGCCAGTCTGGCACAGGCGGCTGATTCGGGCGAACCCAGTTCGGGCATGATACTCGGATATCAGTGCCAGGTTCTTGGATGCTACCCTGGCACTGGTCTTCGATGAGCAATGGTATACGCCGCAATAGCGAAGTAACACCAACCTTGTACAGCCATACTCCGGCGCACCTCTCTGCGTAGCCCGTGCGCGCCACCCATCGCCCGACGGTATTGCACTTGACGCATTTCAAGCTATGGGTCTGGTCGAAGTCGTAGGGCAGGCGTGTCTCGCGTTTGAGCTCGCAAGTTTGCCGCAGTTTGTCGCTGTACTGGCTACGGCTGGGAGTAGCCGGCGCTGTGAGGCGATCGCCCCCTCGACGACGTTGTGCCTTCGGGGTCTTGTACTCGCCCCCTGGCCGAGCTCGCGGCCGCGACGTCTTCTTCTTTTTGTGACTATCCACACGAGACGACTTGCGGGTCCCCATGCCGAAGGAAGACGATGGTGTTCGAAGAGTGAGACGTAAGGGAGACGCAGACGGAGCGACCGCGGTGGGGGTCGATAAGGGAGTCCACCGACGGGTGGTGGCAGCTTATCTCGTCAGATATAAGAGGCGTTCGTGGCCGGAGTGAAGAATGTGAATACGCGCTGACCTGGGGTCCTGACAGAGGTGGATCGGTTACTGACCAACCGGACAATGTCATCAGAATTGCAACACCTGTCGAGAATGTGGAACGTTAGATACTGGGCCGAAGAAACGGTACGACAGGCACTTACTTCGGCATGACGGGCCCATGTTTAAGACGTTCGATCCAGGGCAATCGGAGGCGTCGGTATTTGCTGTCCACCTTTGATCAGGTTCACGCAATTTAGGTTCACGCAATCTCCATATTGGCACTCGCACAACCTCAAGATCCGAGGTAAAGCGAGTTTTCCGTGGCGACGAGTCACAATCTCCGAGTATTCGGCCGTTTCTTTTGCCGCGTACGTTACATGTGTTTAGAAGACGAACAACCATAACTGTTTGGGCGCGTCCGACGCCGTAATCTACGAGGAACGAATTGTTCCGTGATCAGGCCCGTCTAGTCTTCTTCCCTGTGCCTTTGCTGTCTGCATCCTCGCGGGTTCGCTTCTTGGTAGCGTTAAGTTTCTTCGCCGCAGACATGTCTCTGGCCCGATGATCGTCGTTAGCTGCACTCGCAGTTATGATCCATTGGGAAACGGAGCAACTTACGGGCTCTCTTCCAGTGAACGTGCAGTGGGCACTCTGACCCGGCCCGAGCGAGTCACGACGCGAACAGATGCCTTCTTGGCCCCATCATGGTGTGACACAGGCGATGCCCCCTTCGCGGCGTTTTGAAGGGACTCGTCGCTGTGAAAAGTACGTTAGAGCACTGTACACAACCTCACATACGACGTTAGCAGTTTACCCTGCAGGTGCAGACAACGCCTCGTTGGTCTTCTTCACCTTCGGACGTGGTCTGACCGATTTCTTCGCGGGCTCCGTCGCAGCTAGGGCCTTCGTTATGGCTTCGTTCACTGTTAATGGTGAAGTGACGGCCGCCCCGGAACTTCAAGGGCTTATGTTCAGTGCTCTAAGTTCATATTCGTAGAATCGACACGCAGACACTTACGTAGCGGTGTCGAGTCCTCGCCTCTTGCCCCGCGTCGACTGCTGAGCGGTTGATTTCTGGTTCAGTGGCTTCGCAGGGGGCTCTACAGGTGGGTTGCCAGTGACTGATCTAGACTGCTTCGCCTCGTACAACATCTTGGGCTTGCTACTTTTCGTCGCCTTGTGAGCCTGGCCTACCTCCACACTACAACTAACGTAAGCCACATCCTACACAACATTTAGCAACATACGTACGCTGGCAGCTTGGGCACAATAGTGGCGGTCTGTACGACGACGTCGCCGCCAACTTTCTTCTGTATATCCTTCTCTAACTCTGCGGCTAGATCGTCGTCGCCGTCGCTAGAGAAGGTCTCGTCAAAGGGATTGAACTGGTTGTTCGCCGCACTCTTGGGGGTGGAAATCGAAGTGTCTGCCCGTTTGGCCGCGTCTGTAGCCGCCAAGGCGACGGCTGCGCGCTCCGGGACAGGATCTCCCACCTTTCCCGGAGAAAGCACCGGGGGCTGCTTGGGACTGACATTGCCCGTCACTGCAGATAGAGAGATGGAAGGACCACTCCCAGCGCCTGCCATAGCGACATGAGTATGAGTATGTCTTCGAAAACTGCCACATTACCTGTTGACAACGACAACAAAGGCTTGGCGGCTTGAGGCGCTATGGACGGCCAACAATGTTAAGATTAATACTGTTGAGCATGAGTGAAATCGAGATGCGTACCGTCGAAGATGTCCAGCACCCAAGATTGGATGATACCGTCGATGAACGCTGGCGTACACTGGAACTCTCGTGCAAATCGCTCTTGCAACGTCAGCCCGTGCCGGTCCTTGCCCGTCTTGGCGCCCCTGCAAGAATATCAGTGGAATACAACGTGCACCAGGCAAGCGGCAACATACGAGTGATAGACGGGTTGGCCGTTGGCGTCCAACCCACCCATCGCACACCATCCGACCCATCCGGACTGACTTTGCCAAGTCTTCATCACGGTGTGCATATAGCTCGTCATCTCCGCGGCATGCCTGTAGAAAGAGGAGTGAGTATCGGATACAATTGACCCGCACGCGGGGTACCTACTTGGCCCGACGAAGCTCGCTCTGCTCTGCGGAAAGGCGCTCCGAATTCTTGGAAGCGGCTTGAAATTTGAAGCGGTCGAGGTCGGCAGCAGGGAGCGATCGGTACGCCTGACTGAGGTTGGCGTTCCACTCGCTCATCTTAGTGCTCAGCGGGGTGTTGTTGGATGCCATCCTGGGTCTGGCGGGATGGTCGCTGGCTTGGAATTCGCGATACGCGCTGGTGGGAGGTATCAACGTCGAGAGGACTTTACGAGCCGGGATGTTTGTTGGCGGCTCATCGTCGACGTCCTCGCTCGGGCGACGGCGCCGACTGGAGTTCTGGCTGCGACGCTTAAGGACCCCGAGG